TCTATGGTTTCCTCGATCTCTCGCTAAAAGAAAATAGAGAACATATATACAAAGAATGTAAGATCATAAAAAGACGTCAACAAAATCGAGAAAGCATTTAAGTTTGATCCGATAATCAATCATTTTATTAAATATTTAATATATAATATAAATTATAAATTTCATAAGTTATATATGATTACGTGATAAAAGTCTAAGATAATTCGTCGTGATCAAAAGTTTCCATGATTGTCCACGTGATAATGCTACGATAAGATAATAAATCAACCCTATATACTATCTCAAAAGTCCATTTAATCATGTGTCACCTAAGTAATACTAAGGTATTATGCACCGATACTTCATACCACTATATGTAGCTAAAAACCGTTAAAATCACTATTTAAATGATCTCTCATTGGACAATTTTAGCTCTATGCGATAATTACACATAATTTACAAACATCCAACACTTGATTAATATATATATATATATATATATATATATATATATATATATATATCCCTTTAAATTTAAGTTTAGCATATAAATTATCATGAATTAATCTTCACCTATCAATAAAATGATGTTACAACTCAAATGGATATCACATGGTTTTATGTTAACTGACACTCTGTACCTATGTAGCCAAAAACCCTTAAAATCACTATTTAAATTAGATAATTTTACCTCTATGTGATAATTACATATAATTTACAAACATCCACAAAAGCTAACACTTGATTAATATATATATCCCTTTAAATTTAAGTTTAGCATATAAATTACCATGAATTAATCTTCACCTATCAATCAAATGATGTTACAACTCAAATGAATATTAATATCCCCTTCAAAAATATTAAAAAAATATAAAAGAACAGTCATGATCAATAGTAGCTAATTTAAGTTAGTTGAATATATAAGTGAAAAAAATAATGAATGCAAAACCAAAATGTTTGGAGACAATCCACACTAAGCAAATGGGATTCAAATTCTAAATGGGTGTCATATTGTACCAAAGCTTATGCGGATCTAACTTAAACGGATCGGATAACACGGATACTAGTAAAAGAATCCGATCCGCTATTGACGGGGGTTACTTCCCTGGTCTCGTAATACTGCGACTGTCTTCGTCTGATTCATTGTGTACCTTGGGAGGGTGGAGGACCGACATTGCGGCAGCGGAAACCCACTCCAACGTGGTTCGCGATCCTCTCCCTCGACCTCCTCCTCATCCTCCTTTTTGTGTTCCGTGGTCGCTTCTCTTTCCCACTTGTTTTCCAATCGATTACAACCCTCGATTACGTTTTCCACTTGAGCTTCGGGTTTTGAGGTGTCTTGCGATGGAAAAGTGTCTCCTTTCTTACATCGGTGCCTAATTGAGGGCCAAAATAGCTGCAATTTCTTCTTATTTTTTTATTTTGTTTCTGAACTTACCGTCTTTTTGTATAGATTGAGTTGATTCCTGACCTAATCGTTTTGTGTGATATGTCTTATGTGTTGTGGATCTTGTTGCTTTTGGTTTGTAGTTTCAATTTATCGTTGTGTATTTGATTGTAAATCTACCTTTTTGTATAAATTGAGTTGATTCTTGATCTAATTGTTTTGTGTGATGTGTCATATGTGTTGCTGATCTTGTTGCTTTTGATTTATAGTTTCAAGTTATTTTCGACTAATTGATTGAAAATCTAGTTTTTTTTTGTTAAAATTAGATGACCTCTATGGTAAGGGAGAGGGTTTTCAAAGGAAATGACCAACAAAGAAGAAAGTCCACAGCTCTCTCTACTCCCGTAGCTTTTCCTCTTCAAAACAAAACAAACTAATCTAAAAATTTACAAATTCTATCAAACATAATAGTTGAAAAAGGTACAAACCATATACCACGAGATTTTGTTCATCAATTGGCCTCTGGTTTGTCTTCTAAGTGTCGATGAATCAGAACGGTAAGTATGCTCTAGAAATTTATTTATCTCAGAAAGATGGCATTGGAAAAAACAAATGCTAGTCATGCATTAAAAATATAAATAAATGAATTTATGTATTTAATATATTTATTATAGTTTGTTTGACTACGTTAAGAATGTTCAGATAAACGTTTAAAGTTACTAGGAAGTTAAGAAAAAAATATTTTTATTCATAACAATCAATCAAGTATCATTTGAATAAAAGATAAAATGAGAGAGAAAGATAAAATGAGAATTTGTAGTTACCTCGTAATGATAAAAATTTGTAGTTACCTCATAATGATAATGATAAGAATTTGTAGTTATCCCATATTGATAAGAGAAGAATTTGTAGTTACCTCATAATGATAAAAATTTGTAGTTACCTTATAATGATAAATATTTGTAGTTATCTCATAATGATAAAAATTCGTAGTTACCTCATAATGATAAAAATTTGTAGTTACCTCATAATGATAATGATAAGAATTTGTAGTTACCTTGTAATGATATGAGAAAAAATTATAGTTACCTCATAATGATAATGATAAGAATTTGTAGTTACCTCGTAATGATATGAGAAAAAATTGTAGTTACCTCATAATTATAATGATAAGTTAAGAGTATCACATAGAGTTGGAAAACACACTTGAGTCACCTTTTATAGTAAGATTTTAGGATCATTACTCGCGAAGTGGTGCATTAATATTAGAATAGTTACACATTGAAATTATGTGTTAATATCAAAATGGTTACCTCATAATGATACTCTCAAGTCCTAATGATAAGAGAAGAGTTTATAGTTGCCTTACCTCATAATGATACTCTCAAGTCCTAATGATAAGAGAAGAATTTATAGTTACCTCATAATGATAAAAATTTATAGTTACCTAATAATGATAATGATAAGAATTTGTAGTTACCTCATAATGATAAGAGAAGAATTTATAGTTACCTCATAATGATAATAATAAGAATTTGTAGTTACCTCATAATAATAATAGAAGAATTTATAGTTACCTAATAATGATAAAATGAGAATTTATAATTATCTCATAATGATAAAATGATTAATATTAGTGATAAAAGAAGAAACAGAGATAAACTTAAAATGCTAGATAAATAAAAATTTAAATATTCTAAACTAATCAAACATATGACTTTTTAAAAGATCCATATAGTTACTTAAAATAGTTAGAACTTACGACTTTATTATTATTATAATTTGATTGTGAATGTATCAAACTCACTTGTTAAGGTTGATGGTTCAAAGCTTTTTTTGATAAATCTAAGGTTATTAAATGGTGTAGTTAAGAAAAATTTTATTAGATTAAGAATCAAAATATGCCTTTATCACTTACATGCCCTTTATAAAAATATACTTATTTATATTCATAGGAGATATAAATAGTAAATATTTTACTATTTATATCTAATAAATAGTTGAAGGATGGTGAGCTGGAAGAAGAGATGGAGAAGATACATGGACTGGTGGGCGGAGAGAAGTCAGGTGGCTTGGATGGCGAGAGGGTGCACGGCGAGTGCAGGTCGCCTGTGAGACGTGATTGCATGGGGGAAGGGGGAAGGGGAAAGGGGGGGGGGGGGGATGTGGGTTTGGTGGAGAAGTGGCGGGATCGCGTGCAGGCTTTGCATGGCCCTTCTCCCGGCACGTTGCTTCTCACTACACGTGGTCATGTCTTTGGTAGGACTAATTTTATATTAATTTATATAATTAGTTATTTTTGATAATTTAATTTTTATATATTTAAGAATTATATTACGATTTCTGAAACTAAAACATTTAATCTCGTTTCTTTTCGTATCGTCGATAATAAAAATATTATATATAATTAACGATAAACTGATATAAAACAAAATCAGTATGTGTTCAATAATAAATCTTACGATATTTTCATCAATAAAATCGACGGCGTAAGGAACAACAAAATTAAATATTTTATTTTTATAAGTATAAGGATAATTTATAATTAACTCCTTTGGTATGCGTAAGACTTAGTAAATAAAATACTAAAATTACTTATTATTAGCATTATAGTTGAATATTACAGGTTGCTTCTTTCTCGTTATTAAACATGAATTATGAATTGTTATATAATGTGATTAAAGATTGTTCTTTGTGAGTTAAATAGGTGATGATTTTTCATTTGATCACTTTTTTTTGTGGTGTGACGATTGAGGTTTCCTAAAGAAGTTATTTTTAGGAATGCTTATTAAGATAAATAGACATGAAATTTCTAGTATCAATGATTATTTTGCTAATGTTTGATATGCATCTACAAACTATTATCATCAAAGATGTCATTTGTTTCCGGCTTATAAGATAATGTCGTCATTTGGAAGAATACTTCTATGATTTTGTCGATCTCTCACTAAAAAAAAATAAAGAACATATATACAAAGAATGAAAGATCATAAAAAGATGTCAACAAAATGGAGAAAGCGTTTAAGTTGGATCCGACGATCAATCATTTTATTAAACACTTAATATATAATATAAATTATAAACATAAATTTCATAAGTTATATATGATTATGTGATAAAATGTCTAAGATAATTCGTCGGAGTCAAAAGTCTGAAAATGCTACATGATAAGATAATAAATCAACCCTATATATTATCTCAAAACCCATTTAATCATATGCCACGTAAGTAATACTAAGGTGTTATGCACCGACACTTCATACGAAGCCAAAAACCCTTAAAATCACTATTTAAATGATCTCTCATTGGACAATTTTAGCTCTATGCGATAATTACACATAATTTACAAACATCCAACACTTGATATATATATATATATATATATATATATATATATATATATATATATATATATATATATATATATATATATATATAAAATTTATAATTAAATA